CTATTAGATTTAAAGAGCTTGAGTATTTTTGTATTGTAACAATGTGACTGTCACTTCGTATTTTTGATAACAACCTTTAATAACCTTTATAGATATGTTGTGGTTCAATTTTCCCCTTGGTGCACCAGAACAAAGGGAAGTACCAAGTTGTACCGAGGATAAAATTGAGCCGCAACAGATACATTCCCAGGTGTATACGAAAATAAGAACTAAGATTTGCGACTCAATTTTGCAGTATTGCTATCATGATTACCTTTGTTTATCATTTTTTATAAACGTTTTAAGAAGGCCTATATACGTCTATTCAGTTAATAGAGACGATAGATCGTTTTCACTCACGTGGCCAGTAGCCATGCAAATTTTTGAAACAAAAGGAAGTGTTTACATAATAAGAAAAGAGTTCAATTCCCACAGGATTGGTTTGGTGCACCAACATGGCCACCGTTTCATAGTTTTGGAACACCAATATGGCTGCCGTAACGTCGTGTGAAAACGCTCTCTACTGCTATTAGTTTTAAAGAACTTGAATATTTTTGTACTGTAACCATGTGACTGTCACGTCTTATTTTTTATAATAACAATTAATAGCTATGATAATTATTTTGGAAAGTTTACATCTTTAAGATAAAAAGTTAGTTCTGTCATTAGTTTTGATAGAACTGCATTAAATCTTCAAGTGACAAGGAAATACTTTCTAGTTTTTTGTTAGAACGTGATTAAAGCCTTTTAAAATTAGTTCAAACATTCAATGGACTCTGTGAATTGGACAGGATTACTTTCAGACTATTGTAATTCGTAGTCTAAATTTTTGCAATAAAGTAAGCTTTTTGTTAATCCTGGTTTGTCAGTCAATTGTCCCTTATTCATGGTATGTGTTTTCGCCCCATTCGGTCTATTTCCATCGGAGGCAAATAGTTTCGTTTCCCATCCCCTTCGCTCTTACAAAGGTGAGTCGGTCGGTCGATGAAAATTAAAAATAGAACAAAAGAGGACAACAGAACTATCGACAAATAAACAAATAAATGATAACAAGCGAGCCCGAATTATATCTTCCCGTCCTTGACTGCCGTTTTAGTCGTGTTGCATAGAGCGTTTTCGTGGACGTTCTAAGGGAATATTTAAAGTGGTCAGAATCGCTTGTATCTGAAGTGTAATAAACTTGAGGACACCTGTAAATGGGTATCGAAGAACTTTTTCTTAGGGGGATGGGGTCGGTCGGATGATGAGAAACGAGACATTCCAGGAGATGGCCAAAGAGCCTTGTCATCTGGACACGGTACATAGCGGTGAACACTGATGAATCGTTACTCGTGTTACCGTTCCACACGATTAATGTGAGGCCAACCGAGTACTTAAAAGGGGCTCAAAAAGTATGGCATAGCCTTAATGGTGTCGTCACAATTTATTCCAGGCTCCGGTCCAAAGACTTCCATTAATCTGTGTCAAAACAAGGACTTTTTGTACTAATTCTAAGAAAGTGAGGCCGCGAGCGGACTGGATCTGAGAAGTTTGCGATCCGTCGCTTTCGCTTTTGCCTTTCGTCCCCTTGGCTGAGTGGTAACCGGGATACAGCTTGGCGATTTGAATGGACACGCGATGAAAGCTATAAACGCCTTACTTTTCATTTTAACAATTCAACAAGGTAAGTCTGTAGAATTCAATGCACAAAATAGTTGACATGAATCAACCCAGTCATCTTGATCAACACCCTAACTATAGCTTGAGGTGACGGTTAGTATTTTACTGCAGTGATTTCTCATTGTGGTCAATTTGTCGTTTCGTTCAATTTCTTTAATAGCCGTTGTAGTTTGTTACCAGTCAACAACCTCTCGGGCATTCATTCCTCAAACAAACCAGAGTTTCTCGGCAGAATGAATTTCACATTCTTTTACATTTTCAACACACGCAAAGCGGTAGTTGCTTGGTTTAGCCTTCTTTTCCTTTCTCAGTTAATATGTGTATTATATTTAATGTGAGTCAGTTCATTAGAATTGTCCTATTTCTAAAATGGAATTTATCTTAGCTGTTAAAAATAGCCGTTTAGTGATGGGAATACACCATTATCATTCCTGTTTCTAACTTTAGGAATGATCTTTAGTGACTTTTTGATCTTTATTGTTAAAACGATCTAACGTCTTAGACTTGCGACAGCAGAGTTGTCTGCAACTTGAGTCAACAAGTCCAAACAGAATTAAACAGATCAGTTGAGCGAAACTGGAACACAGCAGCATTTTCTGCTGTCCTGTCTACTCACAAGTGTCAACATTCCTTATCATTTTACAATGATAGTCGTTTCCTGCTTTCCAAGAATTTTGATCTTGAATGAAACTCTCGTCTCGAACATAAGCGTATAATGTCGAGATTTAATGTTTACTCGATCTGATATCTTGTACAACTTGAACATTTATCTTCTTACACTCGGAGATGTTATTGCGAAAGACGGAGAACACTGTTGTTTGACGAGTTGAGGAGGTTTGGTACAAAAGTGACCTTGGCGAATTTTTCTGGTCGTCGTGTAGAAGGAAATGACAGCTTTATAGACTGTCTAACCCCTCGTGGCTCGAGAAGACATCACGATTGCTCTATTTTAGGCTGTCGAAAGAGAAACATTTGCTCGGAAGTAAAATCTATTTTCTTTAACATTACTGCCGCTTTCTATTTCAGTTCACAAAATAGGACGCAGCTAGCTATATGTACAGAGGCGTTACTCATTATTTGTCGAACCGTTTGTGAGCGTTAATTTCAATCTTTCAGTAACCGCGCCTATATTTGCATACTTACTTAGTATGACAAAAGCGTAGCAGTTCAAGCGTGTGACAGCACTTGGATTTAATCAAACCGTGAAACTGCTCAGATGTGTTTGGTGCATCGCACATCAAGTACAAAGTTCACGGTACATACATACATAAACTTTATTTAAGTGTCAATAAGTATTTAGCTCTAAAGGCTGGTTTCCATATGATCGCAGACGATCGCGGACCGCGGATCGCAGATCGCAGAAAGTTCTGCGATCGTCTGCGATCATAAGGAAACACACTTCTGCGATCGTCTGCGATCCTGCGATTGTGATCGCAGACGATC